ACAGGAACAAAAAGAGCCAACAGAATATTTCCCATCAGTATATTTTGAACAATAATTAAATTAAAAAAAATTACATCTTAGGAAAGTGATGTAAAACGATGTCTTAAATAGGTGGCCATTTTTCCTTCAAGGGAAATGAGGAACAGATGTGTTTAGCATGTATATCATCCTCTTAGTTGAATTTATTTTTGGGTCCCTTAGTGCTAATTATTAGACGGATCACATGGTTTGTCCAGTGCTCGTGTCTATGATCTAAAACCAAACTGTATCACAATTTTCAACCTAGATTCAGCACTCCTGAAATGATGCTCCACCAAACTTGTAGTCATTTCTGAGTGAGAAAGGCCCTTGATTTATTTTTTGTTATTTATTTAGATTGTATCCAAAGTGACTGACTTCTGCATCCATTTTATAGCTCGGCATTTGACTAGAACCACCTGAGTGAAATACCTTGCTAAGTGATACAACAGCATTGTCCCTTCAACCTTCAAGTTAATGCTTAAGCCTCAATCATACCTCCACACAATGGCCTTATAATTGACTTTTCAAACCCGTGCAGCTCATGAAAAGCCCATCATGCAACCTCATGTGCCTTTTCCCACCTAGATCCTAACAGATCTACAATAGAGAGTGTAACAGAACACAGGGGGAGGTCCAGATTTTTGCCTTTCATGAAAGAGCAAGGCTGGGGAAGCCATGAGGATGAAATGCCTTTGGTTTTATGGTCGTTAGATCCTCCAGCTTGTAAAAAAGAAACATAAAGTTGGATGGGAAATCCAGAAGCCTTGACAGGTGTTCACAGCAGAAGTGTCCCACCAGTAAAACATCTTGTAAAGTTTATGTATTTATTAAGAAATGGCAGAAGAGTGGGAATGTGATTATTTTAAATATGCAACTATAAAATGATCTGCATTATACTGCCTTTCAAGACTAGGCATACAAGATCATTTTACAAAATTAAAAAATAAAGTTTATCTTGTAGGCAATCTGTTACACAGAATGCATTCAGGAAGAGAGAATTTTGGCATATATTAAAAAGAATCTAGTGTTATAAGCTTTCCTGATGAGCACCAGAACAGAGATTAAAAGGGCAGTGATTGAAGGTTCTGGTCCCAGCTGCCTGAAAACACTTACAGTTGATGGAATGTAACATACAGATGAAGTGTATTACAAACCGTAATTTTGAAATAAACTGGACTTTCCAAAAATTATACATAAAGACAGACAAGACTTGCAAGGTTCTTACATTCTTCACATTTTTGCCTAAGCTTATGTTGTTTTTTTCACAAATGAAAATCTTAAAATATTAGTATACTAACTAGGCTGTAATGATAAAGGAATGCAATTAAATATGTTTCATTAATCTTTTTCTCTTTTTCTCCATTTTCATCACTTTAATCTGAAAAGGAAAAGCTAATAATGATTAAACGTCAGTGATATAAATCATCATTAGAAAAGCTTAATGATCTATTAACCAGCCAGCTGGATCAAGCAGAGTTATCTTTCAAAAACCACAGAACACATATCAAGAGGAAACTGAATCTTCGTTTCTCCTTAAAATGTTATTACTTATCCTAGTGTTTGAGAGAAAAACAGTTATGTGGCCCTATGATATCAAATATGATATTTTCCGCTTTGATTAATCCATGAGCTTTTTTAATTATATCATTTCAGTAACCAAGCCTGTTTTAATTTTTTTTCCTTAAATAATCCACTTCATTTTTATATTTTAAGTTGCTGAGAAGAAATAACACAAGCCTAGATAGTGTAAAAAATATTGGGAGTCCTTGACATAACTGCATATCTTTTCTAGGATTTTATTGTTGGTGGTGATGTTCTTCTTATACAGTGAAAAGCGCAAGTATTGGGACAGTGAAATGAAGTGAAATGAATTTTTTTATGGGTACTATTGAAATCTGTATTTGTATAGACATCTATATCTTGCAAGTTTTTTTTTCTTTTTTAAGACTGATGAGTTTATGATGCCCTATTTCTCTGCATTTTTTCTAATTGAAATTTTCTTTTCTTTTTGCTTTTTGTCATAGACTACTCTCTAGTCTTCATCTTGGATAATGCCTTCCTATTCAAATTTCATTAGTACACAGCAAAATTGAATTTCACTTTCACTTCACTCTCCCAACACATACAGTACACTTTTCGGTGTGTGAGCATTGCCTTGTTTAAAATGCTTCTTAAAAAAAAACTGGAGAAAGAAAGCATTATATTCACTGGCCTTTATATCACTGATTCTAACAATTAGCAGAGATTTTAATAAAAAGATATTGCTTTATTTGAATGTGCTCTTAGGTAATTAACATAGCAATCTCACAGAGGATTCATAACCATGTTACAATACCATGGTTATAATAGCAATAGCATCCTTAGATCTTTCATAACCCTTTTTAAAAAGACAGAACAAGAAAAAAATAAAAATGACCCTAACCTAAACACTAACCTTACCCTCAACCCTGTTGAGTGTAGAGTGTAACTCTAATAATAATTAGAGTTATTATTAACTCTAACACATTCTATCAACTCTGCTCTGAAAAATGTCATGACTAAAATGTCATGACTTATTAGGAATACTGCATTTTGTATTTTTGTCATATCTTGTCATAGTTTCATATGTATTCTTTGTGTTATGCTGCCTATTTAAGATTATTTATGAACACATTCAGGCACAATTTGCACAGTATGTAACTGAAAATGAATGTGAGCTTGCCACAGGTCAAATACAGTTTATATATAAATAGTATTGATGCATACATATCCAGCTATTTGCGCTTTTTGTTTTGGAAAAGCAGATCACATTTAAAAAGAATATAAAATGCCTTTTCTTTACTGCTAATAGGAAATATGATGCTTAGCAAATGTTTAAACATCTGGTCATGTTGTTATTACATAAATACATATGTCTGGTTATTTTTTACTATATTTTGATTTCCTTGGAGCTTCAAAGGAAATCCAACATTTGTGAAAATTAAGAGGTGAATTTTCCCTTTAAATTGTTTTCTCCTCAGTTTTAATATAAAAATTAATAAGTCTATTACTTTCTGTTTTCTCTGGGTCTTTCCCTATGTAATCATTTTTATTAATTTCCTTCTCAGTTACATGACTTTCACCATAGATTCAGAAATCACAAAACTATTAATGCTTGTAGAGAAGCAGGAAATTCAGAGTACATTTTTTATTTCATTTCAGGATTTTGGAAAGTAGATAACGCAGTGTTTAGCATTGCTGCCTCACAGCACTGGGGCCCTGGTTCTATTCCAGGGGTGCTATCTGCACGGTGTTTGTATGTTCTCCACATGCTCTTGTGGGTTTCCTGCCACAGACCAAACACATGCTTGTGAGTTAATTGGCTTCTGTAAAAACTGTCCCTGGTGTGAGTGTGTGCATGTCCTGTGATGGACAGGCATCCTGTCCAGAATATCTTGACTTGCACCCAATTCTTACCAGGTTAGGCTCTGGTTCCCCCTGTGACCCAGTACTGGATTATGTGGACTAGTCAAAAGTTAGCCAGCAGCTATATCACCCTACAAATCACTATTGGCAAGCCACTGAAGCTTTGCAGGAGCTGAAATTGCCAGGACCTGGATGGGAGACCTGTGAAAGCTAAGGCTGCTGCTGGAAGTGGTGTTAGTGGGGCCAGTAGGGAGGGCTCACCCTACATTCTGTGTAGGTCCTAATGTCCAGTATAGTGACGTGGAGACTATTGTAAAAATGTACCGTCCTGGAATGAAATGTAAAACAGAGTTCCTGACTCTCTGTGGTCTCTAAAAATCCCAGGGTGTTTCTCGAAAAGAGTAGGGCAGTTACCCCGGCCAAATCTCCCCCTGGCCTTACCCGAACTTGGCCTCCTTATAATCCACATCCCTGAATTGGCTGATAGCTGATGTGTGGTGAGCGTACTGTTTGGCTAACATTGCATCATCCAGGTGGGGGCTGCACATTGGTGGTGGTGGAGGGGAGTCCCCATTACCTGTAAAGCGCTTTGAGTGGAGTGTCCAGAAATTATTATTATTATTATTATTATTATTATTATTATTATTATTATTATTATTATAAGGCAGTAAACGTACTGTACTTGCTATAGTAGACATTGCTATTGCTGATTCTAACTCTCCTATAAGCATATAGGGTTCCTATAAGCATAAGTCACCCTGGACCCCAGCCTATGGAAAACAGCGAGCATGTCGAAGGAAAGCATGCGTAGTCGATGAGCTCTCTGACCTGGTTCATGGGGCATAGCGTTGAACCCAGCTATTAAGCAAATACAAATTCTGCACTGGTAACATATTAAATGAAATGATGTGTAAAAAAGGTATTGGCAGGGCTGTGCAGTTGCAGTTTTGTGTACTTTAGCTCACTCATAAAACATCTATTTGATCCTTATCAGGGGTGTCTTTGTTCCTGTGCTGCGGCACAATCATAATAGCCATGAGGCCTGAGCAGTGACATCATTGTAATTATCAGGGATTATTTCTGACATGTGATCCAGAAGCAAATATTATCCTGTTTTTGTAACTCACCAGCAGGACTCATCTATGCCTCTTAACTCCCCAATACTTCTCACTGTGAGCCGAAACACCCAATGAGAAGTAGCTATAGAGACAGTAGATTTGATCTGCAGAGCTTTAGCCCTAAGACCAGTTTAATCTTGTGACTTTGAAGGCCTTGAGGAGTACATGCATTCTGTTATGAAACCGCTCCCAGTGACTCATCATGGTGTGATGCATTTGTAGGGCAGACCATGTGCTGAAGACCCCCTCCACCCTCCACAGTGCCCTTGACTGAGGCAGGACATGTGTAAAAACAGACTAATAATATTGCGCAGTGAAACTCAGATGAGCTTGGGTTTGTTACTCGGGGACAAGTGTACAAGCAAGTGAAAAAAGAGCAAAACCATTTTCTTCTGGGTCACTTGAACTTCAAGGTTTTCTTGAGCTTTTAAATACACCATCTGACTGTTATGTTTCTGGTTTTCTCTGTTTCTCCAGCTATTGGGGTGCAACTCAGGCTAGAGCTGCTGGAGAGGATCTTCTGGACAGCAACACGACAGGTGTGTAATCCCCTTACAGCAGTACACACGGACGTGAACACACACAAAAATGCTGCTCTGGCCCCCCGAGCACCTTTCATAAATGGTGTCGATGGAAGTTACTTTTAAAAAGAAATCCATTATTGAAGTTATTTGTGTACAATTTTTTTTTTAAATTAACAAGATGCTGGAGGAAAATATGTTTATAAGGTTATTAGGAATCAATGAATAATGAACAACTATATACCTCATCGATTGCCGTAAGCGATGACTTTTTAACATAGTTTAACAAAAAGTCTTACTGCTGGCCATTATTTTGGTCTGTTAGTGAGATTAAGTAACCCCCCTTACCGTGTTCTGCGCTTTAACATGCAGTCTGTGGCCCATTATTCACCCCCTGGCTGGATAAATGTGGTCTCTTTAACAGTTTCTCCCTCTAGATTACCCTTGGCAACCAAGGTAATTTTTTCTTACTGCTAGCACCAATATAGTAAATAATATAATACCCACAACAAAGAAGCTTACACTATGCTTGTTAGGTACAATAACTAACTGAGTAAACAGTGTTTAAATTATGTCGTTATCTGAACGGGACAAAATTTGCAGTTGCAGTCTGCTTTCCCTATACCAAGCTCTTTCAGTGCAGTTTGCATTGAACACACTGATAGACTCTTAAGAACTTAAAATGAATCACAGGCAGTATTTTACAGACCAGGCTCTTATGAGGCAAGGACGCCTGAAGAAGGAACTTATCCACAAACGTAAACTTTACAATAAACGATAAGAAGTCTAATTTGGGAAGGTCTGGCTATTTTAATGCATTAGATAAAAACAAACAAAATGTTGATAAATCAATTGTATCAGTTTTATGCAATTCATACATTTATTCATACAACCGACATTTACATTCCCTTATCATTACGGTCAGTTGATCACTCATGGCAAAGACATTGCACACTGTACCATTTAAATTCTATTTAATTTCTCCTCACACTTATTTTAATTACAAAGCTTATTTTAATTGCATTACAACACAAAAAGGTATGAATAATAAGTATGAAAAAAATGAATTTTATGTGAAATTTTAATCTGTGGTTAGAGCTAAGCGAAAATAAGTGAGGCCATATTAGTAGTTAAATATTGGTCTTTGTAATAATTTTGACAAACTTCAACCCAACCACATGGCTTCTGCTGTTAAGGATGAAAAATGACAATAACAAAACAAAGTCAAATCCATCACAAAAGAAATTCAGCAAAACGTTTTTTGTCTGACCCACCCACTACAAAAGGGAGGTATTTTTAAGTTACAGTGTCCTAAACTGTCTGCTGATTCCTGCTAGTTTTCATTAATACAGTTTATTTCCCCAGCAAAGAGAATGGCAAATTCAAGCAATATGGTGTTGTTTAGAAATTAGGACAATAGGCAGATGTTATTTACTGTATCTGCCCCATTTTTTTTCTGCTACCAAATGGCGTTTTAGTCACCTTCTGCCAAACTTTACCTTTGAAGCAGAAATGAAGGAAGAGGAATTTGTACATTAGTTTTGCTTGTTTTTATTTTTCCTAGAGACTCTTCCACACGTGAACGTAATCTTGGTAAAGATTTAGATGCTACTCCTGATTTAAATAGAGTACAAATGAAATTCCTGCAAAAACTGCTTTTTTTTTCTTAAAATGTCTTCTGTAGGAGAGGTTGCAGAACTTGCAGTAAATAATGAGGAGGCAGGGGTAGAAGGAACAATTCTAAGGAAATGTATTTTAAAATAGTGGGTTATGGCATTCACAAAGATGAGACTAGGTGGAAGTAAGGGGACTAAAATAAGCCTAAAGTGATTACGAGACTTGAAAAAAGTCCTTTAAATTTTGGAATAAGGCAATAAGACCACTAATTTATTTGTGCAGTATGTAAAAATAATGCAAAGGATTAAAACAGCAAATGGAAACCTTATCGCATTTTTGTATTCTCTTGTACTTTTTAATTTCCCTATGACTTTACAAAGTTCAAATACGACACAGAAACTGGCTGTAGAAAATGAACAGACTTCTAAATTAGGTTGGATGTTAAGACCAGCAGTCACAATAAACTATGTGTATGCATATTAATGGGTTATTTGATTAGTCATAGCACTACGAAAGACAGTACTGTGTTATGACTGCTCATCTTTTTGCACACATAAAGTCAGAGCTGGCTAGCTGTATCACCCATAAGGAGACAGTGACATCTCTTGTAGTACTGCGATTGGGAGAAAAGGTAATTAATTATATAATTTATTAGGTAGAGTAGATCCACAGTATTTAAAAATTAAAGAAAATTGGGAAAACAGGATGCAAGGGCGTGTGTCACCTACCCTCAAGATCTGTTTCCTTCTCTGTACAAAATGCTGCAGAACGCCTGTCTCTGTAGTCTCATCAAGCTGGCCAGTTGTTCTGAAGTCCACTTTAGCTGTTTGTGGATTCCTGCTGGATATTACAGTGACACAGTGGCTACCATTGCTGCTCATAGCTCTGAGGCCCTGGGTTCAATTCCAGGGGTGCTGTCTACATGGAGTTTGTATGTTCTCTGCCTGTTGCATTAGCTTCCTCGAGGTGCTCTGGTTTCTTCCCATAGACAAACTGGTAGATTAAGCTTGTAGGAAAACTGGCCCTGGTGTGAGTGTGTGTGTTTGCACCTGTGTGTTTCCTGTGATGGACTGGGATCCCATCCAGGGTGTTTCCTACAGTGTGCCTGTTGCTTGCTGAGATAGGCTCTCACAAACCTGTATTGGGTTAAGCAGTTAAGCAGTTAGCAATTGGATGGATAGATGGATGGATTCCTGTCTAGGTCTCAGAGTGAGTGTCTGCATGAATTTGGAAGCCTTCTAAAACCTGAAAATGCACTTTATATTAAGCAGTGTAATTATCATGTTGGATAGAAGGGGTTCCATTCGTTTATAGCATTTTGACAAAGCTTAACTGTTGTTGTTCATTGCAGAATTATTTTGCTCTATTTAAAATACTAGAGCAAAAATCTGAGGTTTTCAAGAGTGCGCTCCACATTCTCATTAGCAAGATAAGACTCCTGAAGAACTTAGTTTTGCATTTTAAATCCCTCCACATACAGTACTTATTTATTATTCCAACAATTGATATTTATTTCTAATATGTCGTTTACTCCCTACTGTTCCATTCATAAAATACAGTATCTGCAGTTAAAGACTATCTTGTTTTTATTAGGCAAAATTAGGCAAATTAACTCCAAAAGGCCAAACACTTTCTTGCCAAACACTCCGTCAGAGCAGAAAAGCATAATTAATCCAGAAAGATGGAGGAAATCCATTTGGTATCCTCTTTACATTTTTTATAATAAACGATGATGACATCTTTATGTAACTAAATTTCTACTTCAGATTTCCCCCTGGCCTTAATGATAGTGCAGGCCAGTGACTGAGACTTCTGAAATATATACTGTCTCTGACATATAAAATACATTGCAAAGTATTGTACAAAACTATAAAAAAAAGATTCTATTGCACGCTGACCCCTTTTTAAGATACTGTAGCTGTGCCTGAGTGCAGTGTTTGTACTATACCCAGTCTGCTGTGCTCCCCTGAAATGTTGCAGTCCAAATGTTTCTGTTATGTAAGAGTCTTACTCAACAGAAATAGCATCCATGAATCTGTCATCTTCATTTTAAAACACTGGGATGTGAAATGTGAAGTCTGAGTAAAATTAGTGACTTGTGTTGAAAACCATCAGCTTGCTTTTGTTTTGGACCTAAATTGGATTAATTTTCTCACAATTGCACTGTTGTCAAAGAATGAACAAGGGAAGAATATCCTGCCAAAGGGAACGTGTAATTATTAACAGTTGTAGCTTAAAGTAGAAGGATTCTTCCCAATTTTTTATATTCAAAGTGACTTGAAGAATTAGCTATTTTTTGTTAACAGCAATACACCGTTAATGTACTGTGTTTGCAATAAAACATTTTTGGGTATGTTGGAAAGGATCATACTCTTTAGCATTTTCATTTTTCACTCTACAATTAGTGAAAGAGATCACAAGGACTCCAAAACTGCTCACATTGGCTCCAGCGTCCAACATGATGTTTCAAATCTATGAAATGGCTTTAAAAATACAACATTTATTAAAGGTATACAATTTTTTTCACTGCAGTTTGTAAGCCCAGTTCCATATAATTTTTCAGACAGAAGGTTTAAAAGCAAATTAACACGCAAATTGACAAGCGTCTTCCAAATGAAAATGAATCTACTCTCATGTACTGTAGCACACAGAAAGCTGGTTGGTCAATGTGTCAAATAATTAAAAGCAACTTGAAGTGTTACAGGTAACCTGAGTGAATTAACAATAAAGGTAGACTGCAGATGCCGTTAAGGCTATTTAAACAATTTAAAATGAAAACATTGTACTTTTAGGGCCACAAATGCAAAGCTCTTCTTCACAAAAAGGGCTTGGCTGTGTGTTTAACAAATTTTGGTGATCTCTTCACTGGCATCATGATTTATGCTTGCAAGCTTCTGTGCTATCTTCAGCATGGACAGTATTCACATTTAAGTTTAATTTGCTCTTTCTTGGAAATAGAAAGCATCAAAGTGAGTTCCATTTAACAGGAATGTTACATTTCATACTTTATAAGTTGCAGAATTCTGAAATGGCATTAAATTAGCCAGAACATCCTAGAACATTTTCTAAACATAACAAAACTAAAGTTAGAAGTGACAACCAGGAATGGTGAGGATTTTCCCAGCCTTATTGACTAGATTCCAGTAGTCTTGATGGTAGGAAAGGGATTTTGTGATGAAAAACCCACTAGAAAGAAACACGGGTTCTCAACAGGCCAGATGTTGTCACATTATGTAGCATTCCAAAACAATGTGTACTAGTCTGTCCTTCTTAATAATAATAATTCCTTATTATATACAGTAGTGCTTTTCTGGACACTCCACTCAAAGCGTTTAACAGGTAATGGGACTCCCCTCCACCACCACCAATGTGCAGCATCCACCTGAATGATGTGACGGCAGCCATAGTACACCAGTACACTCACCACAAACCAACTTTCAGTGGGGATTACCAGCTATAGATGGGGGTTATTAGGAGGCCATGACTGTTAAAGGCCAGTGGGAAATTTGGCCAGGATGCCTGGACAACACCCCTACTCTTTTCAAGAAATGCCCCAGGATTTTTAGGGAACACAGAGAGTCAGGACCCTGGTTTTACATCTCTGCCAAAGGACAGCACCTTTTTACAGTATAGCGTGGGCCCACACAGACCACAGAGTGAGCACCCCCTACTGGTCCCACTAGGACCTCTACCAGCAGAAGTCTTAGCTTTCCCATGAGGTCTCCCATCCAGGTACTGACCAGGCTCCCACCTCCTGAGCTTCAGTGGGTTGCCAGTGGTAAGCTGCAGGGTGACATGGCTGCTGGCTGCTGTTGTTAGCGATTACAAGCAGTTACACAGTTGAAAAATAAAGGGCACATGGCTCTCTATCTTACAATGTTTGTGGGTAAGTCAAAACTATGCAGCAGTCATCTCTAGAATACCTTGCTACTGTATTAACCCCACCACACATCTATACCAGGCTTTGCTGTTCACAACTTGTCATACTCTAACCAAATTATTTCTGTATTTCTGTTTTGTTTTCCTGCATGCTGCCTGCACTCTGCATGTCTCCTCACAGCCCAATGACACTGATGTAAGTAGACAGAAGTGCTTTTTACAGGAATACAATTAACAGCTTCGGTTGCCTGGTGCCTCTGTGCCGAAGCACAGTCTAGTAATGCTTTATGTGAACACAGTCTTTTGTATGACACCAGTTTCTGTATACCTGCACATCAGTGTAACAATCTTACATTCTTGATTTTCAACAGCTTTACCAGAGCTACAGTATATTGCCACTGTTCAAACAATGTATATATTTGCCATACTGTTCACAGATACAATCCTTCATATATTTTGTATTGAATTGCATTTTACTAATCACAACCCTGCCTTTCCTGGCTTGTTGCAACATTAATTTACATTAGTTTCTCTCTATCCTAGGAGCAATTTGCCTACCAAAAGGGCAGAATGACAACATAACCACACTTAGCAGAGTACAACTGGAAACAAATATGCTCTTGGGCTATTAAATGCCTTTTTTAACAGTTACTCCCATAGATACAATCTAAAATAATGAGATTCGCTTTTCTTCAAGAGGAGATATTATTTTGCTTTACTGCTTTTGCTTTGGGTGGGACATTGAATTATTAGCTTTGTGTGCTTTGGAATGTTTTGGGCTCATGTTCTGTCTGCAGACACTGTTGTTGTTGAGCAAAATCATTTATCCAAATAGATAACAGCATTGCCTGGGGTTAACCCTGCAATGTACCAGTGTCCCATCCTGGGGAGGGTTACAGTATGTACTCTCAGTTTGACTAACACTACAGAAAACCCAATGTGGCCTGATGAGTTACTAGGCTCGATCACAGACTTTAATTTTTACTCAAGCAATCAACAGTTTGTGACACATGGAGGTTACATAAAGACTTATTCCTTGGATCTCAAGGTGTTATTGATTTGAGAGGCCTAGAGATCCTGGATTGTGACAGGTGATGACTGGAACTTGGGGTCGCTAAACAAGACTTGGCATTTTGGCAGTCTTGAAAAGGCTTTTTGTCAGAGCAAGTAAAATAGTGGCATTACATAGCTGAAAGGCTTTAAAAAAGGTGTCACAGCTTCTAATACAGTATATAGGAAAGTGTAGGCCCTGTGCTTTAATCTATTTAATTATAAGAATGTTTAAACTCTTTAGCAGATGGTGCTGGTCAGAAACAGGACAGTACAATTGGTGTCTCTCTGGGTTCTTGCTAAGCATGTTTACAATTTGAGTTGATGGGATAACCGGGTTTGTCCCTGGATTTCATTATGATTCTTTCTGACTCATTGCTTTTTTATGTGATGCAATTTATTTGTCCTTGATTCCTCAGACTATGTTTCGCAATTAGTCATGAACTCGGAGAGTACCCCTCTCTTATATGATTATTTTGGATGCATAATTACCACTTGCTCTATTTTCACATCGGTACTGTACATTTCCTTACATGGCTTTATTTTTTTTTGTGTCGTCTGAAATCAATTAGCCCAGACTGTGCCCCAGGACAGAGTCACACTTCAATTTACCATTCGAACATGCAGAATGGAGATAAGCACTTTGATTGATGATGGCAGCAGCCACATGCATTTAAGAAATGCCTCATGTTTTTTTTTTTCTTTCATGGACTTTTTGCCTCTCAGTATACTTGATTATTTCTAGCTTACCTTGTAAATGAGCCAACACCCGTTTTAAAAAGCCAGTGAAATGCCAAAAAGCCAAACTAGAAACCACGAATATGCAAATAACATTAAGTAGCTTTACAGAATATAACAGGTTGGCACAGTGAAACCATGGTTAGCATTGTTCCCTTGCATCACTGGGTTCCTGGGTTCAATTCCTGGGAGTCTACCTGTGTGGAGTTTGTACTGTATGTTCTCCCCAGTTCCTATGGGTTTCCTCTGGGTGATCCAGTTGCCTCCCTCAGCCCAAAGACATGCTGGTAGGTTAATTGGCTTCTGTAAAATTGGCCCTGGTGTGAGTGTGTATGTCTGTGTCTGCACGTGCCCTGCACTGGACTGGCATCCCATCCAGGGTGTATCCTACCTTGTGCCCACTGGTCACTGGGATACCCTCGGGGCCAGTGTGACCCCGAATTGAATAAGGGATTAATGAAAATGATGTGAGATGAAAATATAACATTATTAACAATAATTAATCAAATATATCAGGTGGGTAGCTGCAAAAATGGATGGATAAAAGAATTAAAGTAAGGTTCTGAAATCCTCTACCTTTTGCTTTCTTCAACACACCTATATTTTATTAATGACCAAGTAATATAGGTTTATTCCATGCAGAAAAGAGAAGAAAGAAAACAACTTTTCAGCGGTGGAGCCTTCTTCAGGTACACGCCTGAAGAAGGCTCCACGGCCAAACATTATGTTTTCTTTCTTCTCTTTCCAGCATGGAATAAACCTATATTACTTGGTCATTAATAAAATATAGGTGTGTTGAAGAAAGCAAAGGGTAGAGGATTTCAGAACCTTACTTTAATTCTTTTATCCATCCATTTTTGGCAGTTTTATCTAATACAGGGTCAATGGGGGAGCTGAAGCCTATCCCAGCAAGCAATGGGCGCAGGGATGCACCCTGGACGGGACACCAGCCCATTGCAAGGCACACACTCACACCAGGAATGATTTTCCCAGACATCATTTCACCTAGCAATATGTTTTTGGAGTGCGGGAGCAAACCAGAGCACCCAGAGTAAACCTACTATATGAGAACACACAGACTCCAAGCACTCCAGCTCTGGAACTGAACCCCAGGCACCAGCACAGCAAGGCAGCAGTGTTTGTTATTGTGTCACAATGCAGCTCATTTGTTTTATTGTTTGCAAAATTAATCAAAATAACCCTTTTTCCACAGTTTTAAGCAGTTGCTACTTAAAAGATAGCAAGTCACTGTATATAACTTTCATTTGCTTCATTGACATCTCCCAAACCCAGACTTTACTACTGTATACCCTGACATGTTTTCTGTTTTATTAGGTTTTTGATTATAGTGACTTGCTTTCATTTTAAGCAAACTTTTCTTAATCAATCAGTTTCTTGACTGCTTTCTGAGCTCATCTTTTGTTTGCAGAAACTGTTTTTGGCATACTGGTGCCAGGACTCCTAACAAACAGGAGTAAGCAACCTTTCCCCTGTAGGTGTGCAAGTACCAGGATTTTAGTTCTTCCCTCCTCACAACCTGAGGCCCATTGCTGGTTTTAGGAATCAGTCTGTGGCTGAGGGTGTTAGCATTCATCACAATATTCAACCCAGAACTAGCATATCTCACCATGACTCCACATTTGGGTGGTCTGTCACTTAATGGTCTGCAGAACTCCAGGGCTTCTATGATGTACTGGTGATCCCCTACTAGAGATGCCTGCACAGTCCCAAGATCAGTTAATTTCTCAGAGGCTCTATTTGCACAGTCCTTCCAGTTCTACTTATGTCATTGATCAAACCTTCAGATAGCAGGAGGGCAGGTGTATTCAATTTTATGACTCCAAAACTATTACAAAAACGTTTTTTATCCTGCTCTGGAACACCCTGACACATCCTCATTTAAACCTCATTACAGTCAGGCTTTCCCTTTAACTAGAAGATCCATATTCCAGGTCTTCTCAGAGACCTCCTGGGACACCTAAACCAGTTTTTATACACCCAGATTCCCACTGAACTACACTAGTCAACATTCCCTTAAAGCTCCTGAGTCTCTAGAACTTATTTCAAGAATTTAACTGAGCAAGTCAGTTATATGCCCCTCTGAATTCTTCTTTCAATAAGAAAGCAAACTTTAAAAAAAAGTTACAGTTTCTATTTAACCTTCTCAATGCAACAAACTACCATGAAGATAAACTGCCACCTAGTCTGGAGCAGCATTCAAGTCTAATAACTACTCCCATGCTACCTTAACGCACTATAGTTCAACCTCTGCACACTCTCTCATCAAAGTATATTGTGCACACCTGGCTACTAATATACCTTTGCAAATAAATCCTGTGGAATGTGAAATTACCAATTGGACCAACCAAATTAGTTCTCATTTTCTTCTGTGGCATTCCAGTCACACGGGACACTAATCAGGTAATAAGGTCAGGTGTGTCCATCTTTCCCTCCCAGAGGTGGTCATGACTAAAGCCTAGGCTCACACATTTTCTTGAAGTACTCCCAGTTCTTCCCTCTCTTTTCAAGGACAAGTATTGTAGAATGGTTTTGATTGGCTGCGCTCTCCAGGATGTAATCCTGTGAGTAAGAGAGCTGATCTCCTTACTCTACCCTGTCAAGATTGGTTCTGGTGCCTGTTTGTCCTTGTGCAGTTTGAAGGGGTGACCGTTTGACTTGATAGTTCTAGCAAGTTCTAGTTATTTTTTTTTTATGGACCTGCTTACTTACAGCTTCAGACAGCTCACCATGGAAACCAGTGAGGGGAGATTCATATTTCCCACAGAGTTAGTGATTATAGTTAATCATATCTCACTTTTTAAGAGCTGTTGTTTTAACGGTCTAATCAATTTAATCTTTTGATTAAAGATAACAGAACTAAATCATACAGGAAAATCATAGTGAAAAATCATCACTAATGGCATGGATCATCAGTTGTCTTCATTTATATATCCTGTGCAAACTAGAATCCAGTAATTAAATGCCAAGAAGCGTCTCTGTTGAGAACCAGCATCACTGATGCATGAGCTGTCGTGTGAGCACATCTATCACATGTGAAGGTGATCTTATCTGTTCTGTTGTTCTTCATGCTTAAGGGATAAAGGGAGCTGATCTCAGACCATAAGATATCTTCTACAGGTTGATACTCAGCTGTGGAAACAAAAATGTCATTGAGAACACTAAATGAAAAAAAAAATGCGCTGTAGCTGTTGTTTTTTTTTTGTTCTATTCTTGCTGCTTCCAGTAGTGATTAAATAATCGCAGTACTCCAAAATCTCTGTAACCACTTAGTTGTCCAGACACAAATTAGAGGTTTTTCAGTTTTATTGAAAGGTCAGAGACGTTGAAATGTTTATTTTCTGTTGGGAAGCAACAAATGGTTTGGTCAGGGTCAAACAGAACTCCCCTTTGTGGGAAGTGATTCCCCACCACCATAAGTTATATCACATTATTTTGCAATTATTTTGATTGCATTTTCTGAAAAATACAAAAGGAGAAAAAAGACTTTCAGACTTAAAGGTTTTTCAGTGAAGCACATTTCATACTCATACAGAATTCTTAAATCTGAGAAAATTGATTAGACCAAGAAGAGAAACAGCATGCTTTTTCTGTGTTGACTCCTCGCCTAATCTGCTCTCTTTGTCTTACAGTGCAGCACCATAGATGGCTTGTGTCCAATCAGTTGTGACAACAGTGTGAGTACTTCTAAGTTTGCCATTAGCAAAGTCATGTCAGTAATGACAAGCTTCTCTTCCCTATGTTGAATTCTACTACACAATAAATTATAGTCAAATGCAGCTTAGTCCTATGAAGTCAAGAATTGCAACCTGCCGTAACAGCCGTATCATTGCTACCTTGATCAGAGAAAATGAATCGTAATCAATTGGTTTCTGTTCACCTTTATAATAAGCTTCTGTTCTTGTTAATGTACAGGATGATGAAGACAGTTTGTGTCAAGATAATTATTTCTGATAAATAAATGTAGTGGATTGATTTATACTAATGGGTGAAAATAAATGAGCTTTCAAAGTGTAGCTAAGCCATTAATACTGTTAATTCTACATAGTTTATTATACAACTAATATGTGACGTTCTACTATATATATATATTTGAAATATAGTGAGTATTAATTTATCCTGTTGGCAGTAATAATAGCCTGGATCAGTGCTCTACAGGATCTGAAATACACTATATAGATGGTGACTATGTATGCTTTAAAAAAACATAATTATTAAATTAAATTAATTAATGAAGAACATTTTTCCAAATTAAAGATGACTTCACTTTTGTTAGCTAGAATATACCTCAACAAATCGCAAATATGTGTAATTGCTAGTGAAATGAAGTTGGACAGTTATTTGTAGTATCTGAGAGCAAAATAATGTATTCTGCCTTAGATTACATAGTGTAACACATCATGAACCAACATGTCCTTACTTCTACAAAAATATGTAAGAAAATGCGTGGAGATTTACACCACTTGTTTCATCTCTTCTAGAACCTAAATTGCTATCTTATAGACAGCAATGGCTTCATTCTCATCTCCAAGGAAACGAAAGAGGTAACACTGAAAATTATTTACTGCAATACATTTTTAAACATAGTTTTTTTTTTTAAAAAAAAAGCTCTCTGATCTGACCTTTACATTTTCCAGATATTTACTGTTCACTGCAACCATTTTGCCATTGTTATGCTGGCTGCCCAGACAAAATGTCTCTATATCAGAGCACAATTCCCTAACAAATACAAATATCATAGTCCTGCCATTTTAGACAGGAGCTATCAACTGTACTTGTTCTCCTGACAATCGAAGTGAAATACTATATCTGTTTACTGGTGTATTTTAACTTCAGTCCCTCTAACCACAGCCTTGGTCAGTTGTGATCAATGATCCTCAGTATCCCAATGCAGTTATATATTAAAGTCAGTCAGTAAATAAATGCAAAATGTGAGCTACGAGAAAGAAAAGGTGTTTTGAGTGAAGCAATTTACTTTTGTGTTAATTAAACATGAAGCACCTTATTGTAGATGTATTTACAGTATATCATCCAGAAGGGACTCATAAATATAATAAGATGACTATGGCTGAGGTCTCTAAACGATGCTTAACCAATCCATGCCCTGATCTGACACTATGATCAAGCACTAAAAAATATTTTATGTGGGTGTATAAAGCTAAATGACTGATATGACTGTGCTCTCTTATCATCCCATAAGATCTTTGGTTGCATTTATACAGACATCAATGTGACAAGAATCATATTGATTTTTGTTTAAATACTGAGCATTTAGACATTTTTCATTTCTGCCTTTTGGTTCCTATTGATTGGAATATCCCTATGTACTGTATGTTTCTATATTCCTTGCAACTGTTCTGGGTTTTTCATCTTGTGTCAAGTGAATCTATACATCCAAAACTAGAAAAAAAATAATGCTCATCAAGCATTGTCAGGATACCTCTAGAGACCAGGAATGTGCTCTTCTTCTGAGTTTATAAGAGAATGAACACAACATTAACTGTATTTCTTTTTCTCAGTACTTTTTTGTGAATAAAATGTATTTAAATGATACTTTTAATGTAGGTAGTATATAACACAGATACTGAATTGTTAACAATAATATACAGTAATAGTTTTTTGTTACCCAGGTCTTTGAAGATCCTAGTTATGATGTCAATTTAATCAGTATAACAGCAGTATGTCAATTGCTTTGGAGAAGGAGATATCATCTAAATCTGTTACAGAACAATTGAAAAGGAAGAGCAAAGTTTTTTTTCTCAGAATTGAACGTTTTGAAGGAGAGAGAAAAAAATATTTATTCCCATGGGGCATTTTTGTTTTAAAGCAGCAGCCAATATAAAGAAATCACACAACACACAAATGAGCAAAATACACAGACAATATAGATGCACAAGAGAATCGTCTGTTGAGCAAGGTATCAATGAGAACCTGAATGTGTTCAAGAGGCCGGCGAGAGACGGGATGTTTTGAACTGTAAACAATATTTTATAGTGCGCACCACAAGTGTGTCCATTCTGAGTTATTGTTAAAAGGGATGCATGATGCCTTTCCTGTCACAGTACATTACATAGTACAGAAAACCACAGAAGAAACTGGACATCATCTAATACTTTGGGCTTCTGAAAGCATGTTATCACCACACTGACTTCATAACACTAACCAATGCTGTGTAATGGCTACCATGTGTCCCTGTTTTACAGGCCCAGCACCATATGGTTTATGAGAGGTTGCTTAATCCCAACTATTCTGGGTCATTTCAACACTTATGGACTCTCAAGTTCATAGGATTTGCATCTGTGGGAACCAACTGATCTGAGAATCACCTACTTATCTCTCAGCCACATCTGTAGCATTTGTGGGATTTAGAAAACATACAGTACTAAACCTAAAGGCATTAGTAGAGAGCATTTAAAAAAATAATTTGGAATTTGTCCTTTTTTATGGAAATACTTTACTTTCACTCAAGCAATGTCTGTCATCAGTTCAATGATGTCACATAGCATATGAAGTGCTCTGTCAATTTGTGAACATGTGTAAACAGTATGTCAGCTGCTGAAAACTCATGTCCTCCCTATCACTCTCATAGCTAAACAGAACAGAGTCCAAGACTCAACACACTTTCTGCAGATAATGCAACTGCAAACACTGACTGATTCACTACAGGCTGTGGCACACACTGTTCCTGCTGTCCCTGTGAGACCTGGGGTCATTTATGCATTTAGTTCTGTTTGAAATGTCAAAGAAGCTGGAGTCGCATACAAGTAGACTAAATTTGGCCCTTTTGTGTTTTCTTGTCTGTCCTATGAGAAGTGCTGTTTTGTGTCAAGGACATTTGCTTCTAGCTTGTATTGATAATGTCCCCATTCAGTCAATGGGAGTATGAAATTATAATAAGAGTAGCATGATATGGAGATTTCCAGCACAGTTCCTTGAGAAAACGTTGCATCAGTATGACTGGGTACAGCATCATGGGAGTGCAGCACTGTAGAGGTGTTATTCTTGCAACATGGTTGCAAAATTATACATTACTATTAACAAATTTTGTCAAGAAAATGTGTTCATTGCAAGTCATTACGGGAATTTTGCATACAATGCACTTGTGCTAGATATTTAATTTTTTTTTTGCAGGAGTCACGCTAGGTTCTTCTTACATCCAGGATAATTTTTAAATAATCGGTGAACTTGCCTTCAAACCTTTTGATTTTTCCATTCTAAAACCAAAAAAATAAATAAACCAATAATGAAAATGAAATGCACAAAAACTGCAGTAAATGTGTTCAATGATGGGCCTTGGATGATTTATGGGCCTTGCAGGGTTTTTAGACATTTGAGAGATTTTAATGTTGTTCATTTACTGTATTTGGGGGTTGGAGAGAGATAATAAGAGGAGTTGCACTTGAAAACAAAGCCTGTTTTATTTTGTAGTATTCTTTAATTAAATATACAGTGACATCTGGGAAATCATTGTTTCTTTATGGAGTGCTTTAGTAGTTCTGTGTACTGCATCTTATTTCAAAGGACAGTGGCTTCAGGATGGGTCAGCTGGACTGGATGTCTGTATTATCTGGGACAAAAATTGCTGGAACTTACTGAGTGAAATATACAGCTCGCCAGCATTTTGTATAACAGTGTCATGTAACCCCACTTTGAATTGTTGGACTCGACCCCAGAAAAGGTGCCCAGCCCCCTCCACTGCTAGTGATACTGACAGCTCTCTCAGCTGACTGTTGGCTGCAGCACTCTGTGTGGGACTTTGCTTCCTTAAACATTGCAAAGTCTGTTCTTCCCTGATGCCAAAGGTTAAATGATCTGTAACACTAAACCTAAGCAACTGAAGAACACCCACACAATTCTAGTAGTCTTGGCTCGCCACCACACAAAAACGGATTATTTAGAGATTTTTTGAAATGTCAGAAAGAGTACGAATGAATTTAAAAGCATAAGAAGAGTTATAAATGTGAAGAGGCCTTTCTGCCCATCGTTTACATTTTGCTTTCTTTTTCTTAATTTTATTTTTAAGAATCCAAGAAATCCACCAAGCTATTTCTTCAACTACAACAGTGTAGGTGGGGAGTCAGTTACACACTCCCACAGTCCTCTGTGTCTCTTGATTTCTGTTGTTTCAATGTTTCTAAGCTTACATTTTCACTTTTGTCCCCAGGTTCTTGCATTGATTCTGATCTTAAAAATAAGTCCTCTGATTTTTACTTGTTCGGTTTCCTTCAGGAAATATTGAATACCTGGTCCACATCCCCATGTAATATTCTCTACTCACGAGAAAGATGAAATTCCTTTCATTTATGCGAAATTTCCTTCAGGTCTTGATTTAGTTTGGTTTCTCCCTTTTCTAGTGGTAGAACAGAAGTAAATTTCTTATAGTGTGGTAACCAAAATCAACCATGTTACTGGAAGTGAGATCTAACTATTACATTGTATAATTTTAACATTCCGTCTCTTGATTTGATTTCTAATACCTTTTAATTATATAAACAAGAAATCAGTTGGCCTTTCGTATTGCTTCACCACACTGTCTAGATGAGTAAAGTGATGAATCAACGTAAACTACTAAATGTTTCTCACACATTTATTCTTCTAGTTCAATTCCCCCTCTATGATATTTCAATTTTTGCGCTGCCTACGTTTAACACTTTGCATTCTTAGCATTTGAAGTCTGTTGTTTTCAGAAGATAAAGAAAACTGTTGAAATAACTCGGAAAACAATTACGAGCGTGCTTGAAATCCTCTTATACTGTAGATAACAAAAGTATGACAGTTTGCATGCAAGGACTCTTCAGTGCCAACAGGCCTGTAAGTGAACATTAGAATCTGTTTCACATGTTATGTCAGATTATCTAGTCTTACAGTCTGACTGCCTGCCTTTGACTTCAGTTTTCAAAGCTTTGTTCAGTAGTATACATCTTATCTGTTATCTCAGCAATTTTTAATTGATCAACAGCTGAAGCAAACATTTTTTTTCTATATTCATGGTTTGCAAGTGACATATACTCAGTTCAGCTCTTTTTAGTGATGTTGTCCAAAGCTGACATTTTTTCTGCTATGTGTGCGCTACACAGAAAGGGGTGAGTCATCACAGGTGAGAGAGGAGGAATGACATGTAATTGCAAGTCTTGCCTCCAAACCTGCAGTGTGTGATAGTGTCGCCTGACTCAGCTCTTCAGGGAGATTGGCTCCTCCACAGAGAGTGTCTCAGATGTCGCTGTGGTGTCATTGTTGTCTGTAGGAGGCAAAACAAAAGTTGCTCTGCGTCCAAGAGGGATCTTGAACTTTAGGCTTACCAAAGACCTATGTGAACTGTGAATCCTGCTGTACTAAAGCAGGGTGTGAGTGAAAATCAAATGACCTCCCTTTTTGAAGCCTTTCTTACAGTACGTTCTTATTCCTTGGGAGTAAAGGTGAGAAGAAAAACCTAACAATACAATGTCTAAGCCTAGAAAAAAAAATCTTAAAACTAATTAGCTCTATCTGAAATAAAGTTCTAAATCTGATTTAAGTCTAATAATTACTGAATAAAATCTTATCATTATTAAATCTAATAATAACTGAATTCATCTGCATTTTATTAATGACTTTTGTCTTGGGGAGCACTGCTTCTGAGCTGAAAGCTAATATCATGCTTATGAAGCTTGCAAACTGGATAAAGAACTGTCATGAAATCACATTTTTGGTCAATCACAAAACATACCCTCACAATCACATGCATTACTAAAATGTATCTAAAGTAGAACAAACTTTAATAAAGAAATATCACAAACAGGAAAACATCTAATATCCTTTTCTTACACCTGGAAGTGATCTGCATCCCCCGTAATAACAAACTTGTCCAGGAAGCCTCACCTTGCCCAGCCTCCTTGCTCAAGTTGTCTCATTGCTCAAGTGAGCAAAAAGGGATCAGAAGCAGAAGGAAAGCCTTGACCAGTGAAAAGAAAGTTATCTGCACTGAACGGACTCCACAGCAAGCCAGTCACAAAAATAACATCCTCATTTCACCTTGCAGATTCATTATAATTCTGGTGCTTAGAATTTATAGACCGTAAATACCCAAACAGCTGTTCAAATTACAGCATTAATTAATATATTTTCCTCAAAATATTTTGTATAATGTCCTTGAGCAGCCAGGGGATGAGTAAATACTTAGAGACTACCTAGTTCTTCATGTTTTCCCTCATGGAAATTGTCAGAGAAAACATGCTCTATCAGAAAACTATTCCTATTAAGGGTTAGGGCCTCTAGGCAGGACTGCAACCCTGCATGAATCCATCACAAAAAATAGTATTCAATTTCTACTTGCCAATTACCCTAATAAGCATGTCTGTGGAAGGGGGAGAGAACTTACATGAACATGTGGGAAATATGCAGTCCCCACACTGAAAGGCATTCCAATCTTCAGTTTAATCCAGGAACTGAGAACTGTGAGAAAGCAGGGCTTTCACTGCTTATAAGGTAGCACCAAGCTTTTTCCAAGAGTTTGATTCTGGCCCTGTGGTGTTATCTGCATGGAGTTTGTATGTTCTCCCCATTTGTTCTACCTACATACTGGTAGGTTAACTGGCTTCTGGGAAAACAAACTGGTCCTGGTGTGAGTGTGTGCATGCCTGCATTTGTGTCTGTGTCTGCCCTACAATGGACTGGCATCTTTTCCAGACTATATCCTACCTTTTACCACTTTGCTTGCTGCAACCTTAAAGTGGCTTAGGCAGTTAGAAAAAGGCTAGATTTGTCTTATGTTTCCTACACAGAATTGTGAGGAAATGCACATTTAACTGAATTCTATAAAATAAAGTTTACTATTACAGTAGCATTCAGGAATCAAAATTTTGTTTTCTGAAGTTACAATTAATTTCATATTATTATTACCATGATTAGCAGATCTTGGGAAACAGGTTTGCAGGAAACAGATGTCTGCAAATGTATTTAAAATGACCAGACCACAGCCTGTATTTAGCTTTGTACTTCTGGTATCAATAGTGAGACAACACCTTCTGATTCATTTCTCTGGGCTGGCTGTAAATAAGATCCGGACAGATGGTGAACTTGGAAGACATTTGCAGTTTAATCTTCACTTCCATCCCACACTGACAAGAAAATTAGCTGGGGAGCAAAATCAAACATGCTAAATTGAGAAGAAAACATTACATATACAGCTTCTTTAAAGAAAAGCTCCTTATCTGGCAGCTCAAGCATCATTTCCTGACTAATGAGAATGCCTTATTACTGTCAGCATTAACAAGCTGTCAGTTTCTGATGAAGCAGGAAGATTTGGTGGAGGTTTGCCTTGTCATAAGTTCTGATTATAAACACTATCCAGATGTGGGTATGAGCTGGGCTCTTGAGACACATTTAAAGTCACCTTCCTGTGATATTTTGGCACTAAGATTATGAATCCTGTAAAGATTCATAGTTGTGGAGAGGTACCTACTATTTTTGCTTGCTCAATGTTCTAAAAATCAGCAGGAAATGTCAGTGTGAGTTCCCACCTCGTGATTTTGGAGCTGAGTTAGACTTGGGGATTTAGGTTTCTAAGTGTTGCTCTACTGCAAAGCTGTTTTCCTCTCTCTCCAATAAAAGCTCTAAGTCAGTCCCTTCATATAACTAGCCAATTCTCATTTAAAGCAATGACTGCTCACTTTATTAAACTTGCATCAAACTGTCAGTACATTAGTAATGTACTACTTAATGTTACGCATTAATAAGTGGATTAATTAAATATAAGTAATATCAATGTCAGGGAACATATTTATGTAACATATAAAAGTGTTAGCAGACACAGAATTTAGGCAGAATTGACCAACCAAAAGTGTCCTTACAAATGGAACAGATCCAATTTGGATTTGTCCTAAATGAACTCAATTTGAACTTTTCCTACGACGGTACACAAAGTACAGTCCTGCTGTGTGCTGAAAGCTTGCTCAGAAAAGGCTGTAGTGCAGTGTATGCTGTCACTGAGGCTGTGTTCAACACCCCAGGGGCTGCAATGACTCTGACACTTGGTAAGGGTCCCCTGATGTGCTGGCTTGTTATGCATGAATACGTTATTCCTTAGAATGTCATCACTGGGTTCTTATGAGATAAACTCGGCCCAAGAATCATTGTTAGAAAGGGAATATCAATAAAACCTCAGGGCACACTAACAGGAGGGACCTTTATTTATTACATACATTTGACACTAAATACATGTGCAGTTTGTATTAAGGACAAAAAATAGACCCCGATCTACAATGTCAAAATTTATGGATCTGTGTAGTGTAGTAATAAAGTTCCATTTATTCATAGCTGTTCAATATACTACTAGTGATATTAATGATCAATTTCAGGTTCATTGGTTAATTGTTTAGTTCATTAGTATGTATGGTATTGTGTTTTCGGTCGGGTTTGGAGGTGATGAAAAGGTTTTTATCCTTTCATTCTGAGAAATATCTATGTTATGCTAAGAGGCAACATGGTGGCCATTATCATTGCCTATGTCCCCTTTTACTGACTCGGTCTTATCTTTTCAGACTGGGAAGTTCTTCGGGGAAGTGGACGGCTCTGTGATGCTGCAGCTACTGAACATGGGCATGTTTAAGAAGTAGGGTTGTCATTTTTTAGCAGACATTGCTGATATTTTTACATTCTGACTAATCTCCCTTCTTTAGATAAGGGATTTCCAGTCCAAATCCTTTGATACTAGTATGCCAGCCAGCTTTCTGTTTAACTCTGTTCTTAATGACCACAAATGGCACATTATTGGCTTAATTGAAGCAATTCAACAACTTGTTCGAGCCCTTCAGGTGCTATTACTTTTAACAGAGACCTGGAGAAGCTGCAGACAACTGCAGACATCCCAATCAGGATGGGATACACCTGCTCACTGCAAAAAGAGAGGATTTTCTTAAATGTCTAAACGTAAAGAAGGGGTTGTCTGTTCCTTCATTTACATTCTATACATTTTCAGTTTTGTAGTAACAGCCATCTGAACAAGACAGCTGCTCTGTATTTTGTATGTGGACTGTTCCTGCTTGAGGCTTGAATTGACTGGTTTAGTAGGTCCAATATTACAGACTACCTCTGTATTCACTAAAAAGGAATGCAGCTTGATCTCTGATGATTATAATCTCATATCTTAATCCATTACTGCCAAAAATGCAACATCTGAGTAAATAAACTAAGTGCTGTGGCTATCTAATCAAAATATGCAGAGCCATTTTTGAATTCTGATTTTCTCAAAATTTCATTAGAATTAGTTGGTAGCTTACATTAAAAATGAAGAAAGGGGAGTAACAGCTGTCAGCTTTTAACAGGTTACAATTTCAAATGGTGCTTACAACCATTATATGTAAAATATTAATACTATAAACAAAGCTACCACAGTGGACACCATCTTAATTGTTAACAGAACCTAAGCTCTTGGGCCTGCTTTTCACTGCAAATAACAATCTCAATTAATTTAATGGACAGTAAATGCCATTTCTGTCTGTATCCAGATTAAGAAGGTGCAATGTAATTCATGTACAGTATGTCAGGTCAGAATAAGCCAGTATCTTTATTATTCACTTTTCGATGGTTTTATCGATTGAGTAATGTTATTGTCAACCCATAGTAAATGGCAGATACAGCATTTTTAGTCACCAGAGAGGTTCTTTGGAATTGCAAACATAAACATCTTTAATCCAAATGATTAGTGATTAGATTGAAGGATAAATTATTTGGATTCAATCTTGAGTTTGTGGTTTGCGTTAATTCGAGTCAAATCAGCAATTTCACAATCCAAGCAGCATCTGTTGTAGCTTGTAGTCCAGTAGGTAAACATGATGGACAAGTAACATTCACTCCATTAAGAATTGAAGAACACACATCCCATTGTATCAGTTAAATCTCCGATTTGTGTTATTATGTCCCAAGTTACTCTTTCAAAAGGATGCTTGATGCATCCAAATGCTCACAACATCAGAAGGACACCTGATATTACTCTGCTGCAATTTGTATCACTTAAAAGAGGGTTAATATACACATTCCTCACTGACAGTGCACACTGGCAAATTCTGTAGGTTTTTATTTAAACCCTTCCCTTTTATCATTTGTGTTATTATTTAGTTTAGCAGATGCTTCTATTCAAAGCAACTCACATTTATGCCTATTCACACTATATGGGCATTTTATTAAGGTAATCTGAGCAACTTTCCTTGCTGTAGGGTACTGTATAACAGTAGGGCCCTACCTGGGATTTGAACCCACCAGAGGCTGGGATTTGAACCCGCCAGAGGCCCCTACCAGCTACTCCATATTGCCACTGCCAGAATAGTTTTAATGGTGAAATTATGTTGTCATTTGCCTTTAACTGTGTTTGTGCTTCTTTCCAGGGTGACGCTATTTGATTACCAGGCCATGTGCAAGATGTCCGGCCATCACCACAGTGGTGCACGGCCTCTGCTGAGTGTAGGTTGCACCTCCCCATTGCTGCACTCTGCTTCTTCTTCCTCTGCTGCCTCCTTGACCATCCTCATCTACCTCATTTTTTTTCCAGACATGCGCTCAGTACAAATTCTTTCCGTTTCCATTGGTCTCCTTGCACAAAAGCCTCTTTCTCCTTCCCATCACCCCTCATTCTCAAAATAGATTTGAGATGTTGAGAAAACAATTTGCTTTCACATATATTTTTTATCAGAAATAATGTTCTGCCCTTGTCTTTTTTTATATACAAAATAAAGTAGCCACGATGTTCATCCTTTAAATTTTGGGCAGGCAGCGTATTAAAGAGTCGGGAACAATATGTCTTTTTTCATAATGGAGGATTTGTTGTTTTGTTAACTTGGTCGTTCATTATTCAGCAAATGCACACAAAGAATAAAGTACATTTTGCCTCACCTATAATTCACCAATGTTAATGAATGTCCTTTGGTCTGAGACACAGCAGCAATAAAAGCAATAAACAGCTGTCATAGCAGAAAGATTATTCTAAAGGATCCAATTTTCACAAGCCAGGACTAGTGCCAAATTGATTATGATGAAACATTAGCAATACCTGACTGTCATTTTTATTATTTTAGAGTTTGCCATATCAGGGTTGTATTGGGGAATGGTATTTCAGACTGTTATTTCTTTTTCTAATGAATAAATTATCTTTGCTGGAGAGAAAAAAAATGGCTCTACCTTTGTCTTTTTGCCTCCTATGCTTCTGAATGTTCTTTTCTTACTGTAATTCCATTTCTTTTTTTCTTTCTCCTAACAGCCTTTCTATGGATTTCTGGGAGCCCTCAAGTGGTTCCTCAGCAATTTATTCCTGTAAGTGTTGAATGTCCTGGCTGGAATGCAAAGCACTCATTTGGCCGTGTAGCGCAGGCTTCTATTGTCACATTAGCTTTAAAAGCAACGAGAGTCTTCTGTACTCCTGTTATGAATATCTGTTTTCATGTTCAGGACTGTTTTTTGAAAGTTCACCAGCTGAATAAAGACTGCTTTTATTACGTCAGTGCTGAAGGTAATTGAGAGCAGGGGAAAACTCCTTCATTAAAAAAAAATTAATGCATTTCATTATCTTATATAAGACTGTAAGCATAATACTAGGTTCTTCAGGGCACTCTGATTTACCAGATGAAGCACTGTATTCATGTCTTAAATATTTTATTTAAAATATTTAAATAAAAAAACATTTAAATATACAGGTTAGATCATTCTGACATTCCATTAGAGGTCAACGCTGGTTTACTTTGGATTTCTTTCATGGAAGAGCGGTGCTACAGAAGACATACACATTCACAATCTTACTAGGTGACAGACGTTTAAAAAGCACAGAGAAACTGCAGAAAGTCCCAGTTGCACCCCAATGTTCTCATCTACAAGTTTGTATCACGGCCTGGTAGGCCTGTAGGTTTCACACTGCTTTGGCATCGCAAAACAGGGCCCTTCAAGAGATTGGTCGCAGAAGGATTTGAATGTGTGTTGCAATTAATCCACTTCCTTTTGAAGAGGCTGTCTGAAATGTCACCGCTTTTTCAAAATCAAAATCAGTGATGTTAGAATCTTGAACAAATCTCAATCGTTGATTTACTTTAGCATCCTTCAAGGCCTGCCTTCAAATCATTGTAACAAGAAGAAAATATTGTTTCTCAACAAGCACCATTTTTACACCTTGCTGTGTTTTTTTTTTTTTAGTTTTCTGCTGGAGTTTAACTTCTGTGGATTCTGGCATTCGGATAACATTGTAGATGGTAAGTACCTTTTTTTTTCTTAAATAGTTGCTGAATCAAACATATAGAGGAGGGAAACCAGAGCCTAACATATAGAGGAGGGAAACCAAAGCCTTGTTATTATATACACCTGTCATAGATGTATATGCATAAAACCTAGTTTATAATTTACAAATGAAGGGAAAATGAAACACTACATTTTCACGTTTCCATAAAAAAGTCTGCAAATCTGGGAAATTAATGATCTACAATAATAAGAATTCTTACACTTAGACAGCACTTTTCCAGACACTCCATTCAAAGCACTTTACAGGTATATGGGACTCACCTCCTCCACCACCACCAATGTGTGAATGATGCAACAGCAGCCATAGTGCACCAGTACGCTCCCCACACATCAGCTATCAGTAGGGAGCCATTTCATAGAAGAGTATGGTTAGGCAGCCATGATTGTTAAAATCCAGGGGAAAATTACACCCCTACTCAATTTGTGAAATGCTCTTGGATTTTTAATGACCACTGAGAGTCAGGATCTTGATTTTACATCTCATTAGAAGGATCATACTTTTTTTTACAGTATAGTGTCCCCATATCTATACTGGGTCATTAGGACCCATACAGACCACAGGGCGATTAGCCCCTGCTGGTCCCTACTGGTGAGTTTCAGTATATTGGTAGTTGTGAGTTGCAGGGTGATATATCTGCTGGCTATAAAACTAAATTAATTTGCAGCTATCCTGCATGATACTTGAGGTGAATGGCTCTGAATGTCACAATTCTACTTTAAACAGATATTTAAAAAAGACCCTGAGCTATGCAGAAATTGTTTATCATGAATCTGTAAGAAGAATGTTTTGTTTTTTTTGGTACTGTGACATGGATTCAAAGGAGGTTGAACATCTCACGCCATTTGACATAATATGCAGTGACACATTGCTCACCACCATGCCAGCAGAAACATGCATTCCACAACTTCCTGTCATCCCAGCCCTTGTGACCAGTCAATTACACGGATCAGTGTTTTTACATCTCACCCTCCCTTAACCCCCGCTTTTTCTTCCCAGTCTGGTCACTGAAGGATACCCAACCGCTATCTCATGTATTTTCTTGACTTCCTGTGCAGTCATCCTGGACTCTTTCTTACTTGTTTTAGCAATTTGTCTTGCTTCCAGTAAAATATAACCCTCAAGCCTGAAATACAGTGACAATGACAATGACACTGTTTCCTAAACTTGCTTACAAAAGGGTGATGCTGCATTCCAGTCTGGTGTCACAGTCAGATTCACATTTCTCTTGTATTACTGCTGAATGTACAGAAACGGCTGAATCTTTTTGCTTAGTCAATTTTTGCAACGTAATTCTGTTTGGTGTTCTGTGCTCCATCACTTCCAAAGCAAGGTGTGGCTTTAAGCGGGGGCACGGTCAGTGTGGAGGCGGAGCCCTGGTAGAAGGGCGAGTCCTCCCCTTTGTAGTCAAGTTCAAGTTCAAGTTCAAGTTTATTGTCATTACACTCATATACATGGTAACGAAATGCTATTTTGCTAGCTCTCGGACATAAGTAGTACAAAGAGAAAAAAACAACAACAACAATACAATTGTGTAGCAAAAGAAAGACAGAGACAACAGGCAGTGTGCAATAAACAACAACAGACAATGTGCAAAAAAACAACAACAGGCAATGTGCAAAAAACAACAACAGGCAATGTGCAAAAACAACAAAAAGGTAACAGGTTATGTGCAAAAATATGCATCAACAGAATGAAATAAAGGGATAGAAATTATGGGGAGTGAGCGTTTGACATGTATGGTAGAGGTAGATTTTCAATGTGTGTTTGAGTTTTTGGTTAGAAAGAAAGGAAGAAGGCACTGTGAGGTTCAGATCATAGGTGAGAGGTGAGGTGAGAGTGAGAGTGAGAGAGGCTGGGAATTCAACAGTTTGATAGTGCGGGGGTAAAAACTGTCTCTGAGTCTGGTAGTCCGGGCCCGAATGCTCCGGTACCGTTTTCCAGATGGTAGCAGATCATAAAGTCTGTAGCTGGGGTGTGTGGGGTCTTTGATTATGCTTAGAGCTTTTTCGCAAGCACCGTCTGTCATAAATGTCCTGGATAGATGGAAGGGTTACCCCAGTGATGGACTGGACACTTTTCACCACCCGCTGTAGGGCTTTGCGGTCAGCAGCACTGCAGTTGCCATACCACACTGTGATGCAGCCTGTCAGTGTGCTTTC